ATCACGTGGGCGAAAAGAGACACAACATATTATCATGCTGATGATTAATGGGTTGATAGTATTTTGGAATTTAAGCAAACCCCTCTTGCCCCCACTTGCCCCCACTTGAAAAATTATTTTAAAATTAAAGTAGAAAAAAAAAGGGTATGCCTGGTTGGGGGATTCCTAATGATCCTTTAAGTTAATCATACACCACTAGTCATGTCAAAATATTGTTGTTTAGTGAATACACATGGACCAAGCTTTGCCATGTTCAAACAAGAAGAGAGTGAATTTCCAATTATCATTATTATTGACATCAATGTGAAAATGACTTGCACTACTCAACCCACAAGTTTTAATCAAATAAAAATTTTATCCGAGGTTTCGAAAATAATATAAATCCTCCTATCGTTAGTAAGACGTTAGTGCACCATAGTCAGTTCCTTTCACTCAGCCGCCGCGCATCAACAAGATCGGACTCAGTAGGGGCGGATCCATGGCCCACCCTCAATTTATTTTAAAAAATACAATTTCTGGATTTTGGCCTACCCTAACAAAATATTAATGGACAAAAATATCAATGTGTAATTAGTTTTTATTTTAGCCCAATCTAATAAAATCTTTTGGATCTGCTACTAGGGTTTTCGGTTTCGGGTACCCTATATTTTTTGAAGGAACCGAAACCGACGGTTCCTTGAAATTTGGAACCGGAACCAGAACCTAGTACTCAGAACCGGAACCTGTAACAACAGTTTCGGTTTCGATTCGGGGTACCCTATAAAATTCCTAACCCCCTAAAAGTTTTTAAAATGTCAAAAAACCTTAAAAACTTACAAATACCCCCCACCTGGAACTTGTTAAAAAAATAAAATTACAAATTATAATTCAAAATTACAACTCCATTACTTTGTAAAGATAGATTCTCAAAAGTCAAACCAATTTACTTTAATGTTATGAAATATAAATATAAATGTATTCACTTACTTTTTTTACAAAAGTTTTATTACCCTCTACTCTTTAATTTTATTTTATATTAGTCTCGGTTCCCGTTCTGGTTTCAGTTCCTAATTATAAGAACCGAAACTGGAACCGTCAGTAACGGTTTCAAAAATTTGGAACCGACCCTACCCGTTGACGGCCGGTTCTGGGTAGGAACCAGAACCAAACCATGAGTCCTTCCAGGTCCGATTCCAATCGATTCTTTTAAACACCCCTATCCGCTACTATGCTGATCCATAGCTGCGATTATGTAGTTCTTTGAAATAGTCTATTATGAATTCCTACTCTGCCTCTTTCTCTTTGCACTCACTTCTGTCAAGGCTTAATTGCGAGAAAGATAATATAAAAAACAGTTAACACTAGCTGCAATCCCAATTGATATTCCATCTCTACCGTTTTTAACATCAAAAACTTAACAGCAGGGATTTCGGTTATTATTATAACCAGAGTGTGTTTTTTTATAAACCTTGTAAGTTTATGAGATAAGCACACCCACCAATTTCTTTCTTTATTTTTTTCTTTCTAATCAAACTTTTTCATCACAAGAACAAAAGTAAAGGCAAAACCTTTTCTCTTTCAATTCCATTTGATGCTACAAAGCACATGTGTAAATTTATCTATTCCCATAATGAATATAATATTCCCATGGTTAGAAGTTTTCAAGGTTTCACATTCATAAACCTATCAATTTATGTCCATGTGAAGCATGAAACCTCTAGGTCATTTTCAATGTTCTAACCATAAATAGAGTGGACATAAATTGATAGGGATAATGCACTACTTATAAATATTCCAACACACCGTCCAGCTCGAATTCAGATCGAAATTCTCGTCCAATTCATAATTTATACGTAATGTTAGAAGATGTACGAATGGGATTCTCAATGTCTTGTGAACACCGAACACGTGTAACAAATCCTATATGTGTTTTGTCCAATTTAATAAACCCTAATTAAGTACAATTCTAGGAGGAACAATTTTGAAGCTTTGAATCAATTCCTTCATTGTTGGGTAAGGTTATACTATTAATTAATTTATTTAAGCAAATCACAGCATAACTTTGTTTAATAATTTAATCCACTAAGGATATTAAATTAACCCATATCCCAGAGTCAATTTGAGGCATAATTGTGACACATTGATGTGGGTAATAATATAAAATAATTATTTATGACATGCACCTACGTGTCATACACTAAGCAATTAATGCTTTAGTTATCGAGTGGTGATTGGTATATGCTTTTATATATATATATATATATATATATTATATATTCCTATGATTGCTCCAATTAATTTGTTAATTAAAAGTAAATAATTATTTTTTATTTTATTTTAAGTTTTTTTTCCAATAGCTAATTTAATTAATTTATTATCTATCGTGGATATGAATTGATGAGCATAAAACCTCAATAAAAATAATAAATAAATTTAAATTTTAAAAAATAAAAAATAAATGAAAAAGTGATTGGTGCCTAATGAATTGAAAGAATAGAAATTAGAAGTGATTAATAGAAAATGAAATTTTCTTGTTTGTTTCCTAATATTTTCTCGAGAAAATTCTTGAAAAAGCTTTGCTTGTAGCCACAAGGAGACATTGTGGTCCTTTTACAATTTTTTTTTTTTTTTCGCAAATAATAGATTTTAAGATAGAATAATATAGCCTTAAATTATAAATTAAATAAAAACTAATATAATATATTATTTGTTATGCCTGAAAAAGTAGGGCTGACGCAGAGTCCTGTCAGCGCAAGTGGTCAAAGCTTAGGTAAGTCCAAGTGCCGTCCAGATGCAGCCATGTCGCGCGCAGACGTAAGAGGCCTACTTCTACCAGTGCAGTAGGTGCGCATCAGGCTGGTGAAAGGCTAGAGGTAATCCACATGTCCAATCCCTGTGAGAATCAAGTAAATCACTTGGACAGGTGAATAACGTGGCGCATGGAAGGATTTGGACGGAAATCTGACCCACTTCCTGATTTAGTAATCATCACCTCAATCCATCCCACTATAAATAAGGGGTTTCTCTCCCGTTTGAGGGATTAACAAATTTCTCTCTATATTAGCATACTTATTTCCTCTTTGTAATCGCTTGTAAGTTAGCTCGCGAAACGCGACTTGACCTCAATATATTAATATAATATCAGTGGACATAGGAGTCGCTTGTTTAAGCATCTGAACCACTTTAAACATCGTTCTCTATCATTTATCCATTCTCATACTCCCATCCGCATGTTCTCTAGGTCAGCTTAGCATTTCACACATACATTTAGTTGATGTCAAAATCACGCATCAACATTATTAATTCCATAATCATTACCCAAATTCTAAAATTATTTATTACATTTTAAAAGTTGTATTTGTCTCATATCTCAATTTAGCAGACTCTTATGATGTTTATGTATAATTAGACTTTCATCTTTTTTGAACTAGTTTTTAGGAGTAAGTTCTATCATCCGTGCACACCGATACATGGCTGTTATATATAGAATTGATTGTGATGTGGGCCTACAATATTGACCCACATAAAATTGAAAAACATATTTATTGACCCATCAAACAAATTAATATATATATATATACTTTGTTCTTATCTAAGCCTTTATTAATTATTATAAAGTTTTTCTTTTTTAAAAAAAAATAATAATTACCAAGTTGTTGGAGGTTATTGTCAGCCAGTCCAAATAAATAATTAATATGTAACATATTTGTCAATTGATTGTCCTTGTTCTTATCTAAGCCTTGACTAAGCAGCAATTCTACATGCATTGAAATTATATAATAGGACAATTTAATTTATTTTGTGATGTGAAATTAATGATATATGATTTGCATAAATTTAGCTTACTATTAATTCAATGTTAGGTTCATGTCACCCTCGTCGTCATCTGATTGGTTATATATCTTTTTCTCTTTCTCAATTTACCGATTGTTACATTACGATTTTTTTTTTTTAAATGTGTTGAGTAATCTTTGATCTTATATTTGAAAATCGTTCATAAAAGTTTTGTTTGAATGATTTTTGAAATATTTCTTATATTGTTTAAAATTATTTATACATGATAAAATTAATTTTTTTTATATATGTTTTATTTTTTAATGGAAATTATTAAAATGATTTTTTTAATTAAAAGATATTTATAATAATATTTCATATATTCTTTAGCTTCCAAAATTTTCAAAAAAAAAAAAAAATTGAAAAAAAAAAAAAAAACCTCTCCTCAATATGTTTCATTAAGTCATTAGCAAAACATGTTAATGTTGTTCTACATTCAACCATTTGGATGTGACCTTCAATTTTGACCCTTCAAAAAGTATGACAGTAGAACAGCCGTGCGACATCGCAACGTCACACTTGAGAGGGAGTAAGCCTATAAATATGTCATTCATTAGCTCGAGGTCTATTGGTTTCATCCTGTCATAGGTTCATCAGGAGAGTAGCTCGAGCTTGACCAGTTCGTACAAGGATAGCTTAATCTCTTCTTCATTGTCAATTGTCAATTATAAAGAACAACGGGTAACAACTCTTGCACTACCCTTATTAAAAAATATAAATAATAATGCAAAAATATATGGTCTAATCATATACTTAATTAATTAATTAATATAATATATCAAATTGAGATTTTAATCATACTTAATGAGATGGACCAACTAATTGCAATAATTCACACATGGATTTGATGTAATCCTTTAATTAAATCTTTATTTTAGCAATAATTATATCATATTTATTACTCAAGGAATAGTAGGTGATGTCATAATTAGATATTATTTGATAGTAGATATAACTTGTTGCGTCATAATTAACACAGTTGATAAAAAAAGCTTGATATAAATATTAAATCAAACGGACTCCTGCCAACAGTTTCCTAAATTACTTGAAAGACCCCAAAGTTCTTTAAAATATTGAGTGACCCATATAGTTATCAAACTATCAGAAACACCCACAGAAGTGTTTCTGATCAATGAATGATATGAACCCTTCCCATTACAATGCAAAGGAAAAGAAATGCCTTATAATTGAGCTCAAGAATAAATCAATCTAATAAAAGCTTATCGAAAAAGCAAATTGGTAACATACAACCTTTTGATGAACCATTTAGAAACCAAAAGTACCAAAAAGTTCTACTTTACAAAATCCAAAACTCTATACTGGTTGAGTGAGACCTACCAAACATCTATCAAAAAAGGATTCCCAGGACAGCCAAAGACGACTTACGTTTGTTAAATTCTTTCATATGCCCGGAAGACTGGTGAATTCTGGTGGTTCCGGGATTTGAGTCAGACAAAGAGAAGATTTGTAATGCTGTTCTATAGAGCTATATCACAAGTTATTAGTTGAATGATCACTTTCCCATAAAACTACCTCTTCAGTGTGCTCATTGTGATTAGGGTCATCAAAACCTTGTTCCTTGTCAAGTTCTTTTATTAGCTTTTCAATCTGTCTTCTGTATACTGGCATGAAATGATCACTTATCATGGTCTGTGACAGCCTCAGTTTACTATACAGCGTCCGAGAGGTAAGGAAAATTCCAACCTTAGGCTCTGTCACTGGTTCGTCACAGTCAGAGTTGCTAGAGGTCGGTGTATCACTTTTAGAGTCATGATCCACATAAAGAGTTACTATATGCATGATCTTTCCTGGAGGAAAAAACCTGTGTGCTTCCTTCATTTCTGGTGCAGACCTCTCGGCTTGACCTTCACCTACCTCTGCAATGGCTGCTGCTTCTTCTTCCCTTATTTCCTTTACCACATCACCATCCTCATCGTCCATTCTTTCATAAAGCTCATGTTCAAGCTGTTGCCACAATTCAACTTCAGTCATGCGTTCTTCATGTGAATTATGGCTCATAAGGTCTTCACCATCATCAAGATCACCATCTTCATCAGTGTGAGGGCACAATTCAACAGAACAAGACTCAACTTCTGAAGTCCATTCCAATCCAACAGAAGAAGAGACAGGAAGTTGAATATTTTCCATTGAAGTTCTGGTTGCGATTTTCTTGGGAGACACAAGAAGAGGTTCAGAAGTTTCAGTTTTGGAGGTAGAAGATTCCAGGAACTCTCCCTCTTCTTTTGAGTTTGAACGAACAGCTGAGGCTCGATGACGGGGTCCAATGCATGACCATGATGACAAGTTAAGCGTAGGGCGTGTCCAAGCTGCCTGAGCCATGCTCTGGGCTCTTTTCATAACCACCTATACACAATTAAATGGCTAAATAAAACCTAAGTATACCAAAAGATAATCATCAGCATGTGCTCAATCACGAAAATGAACTTACTCGAGTACAAACTACAGCATAAAAGTTGAAAATCAATAAACTAAGTTAATAATATGCTTGAATGCATGAAACATTGAGCACAAAATACATAGGGGTTTGGAAAGAGCGTGGGGAGTGCCTCATTTCTTAATAAATCAATGGTGTAAGAAGGGATCAGACTAAAACTACAATTAAAAATTTTAGTTAGATTTTAAAGCTTGAGTACTAGAGAAATTCAGAAACAAGATAATTTGCAAGCCAATGAACTTAATCTAGTCAAAATGAGGTTACCTGTGTACCACTAGAAACTGGGCGCAGAATTGCCCCAGCCCCAGCAACTTTTGCTTTAGCACTTGCAATGGAAGGAAGGTGGGAACCCAGAGCTGATGCAGAGCGATAGACAGTACTAAGAATTCTTGTACGCTCAATCTGATTCCTAAGATCATTCAGCCAAGCAGATGCGGTCACCTGAAAAGAGTTCCTTTGTGTGAGAGGCAAGAATATGTTTGTTCTAAAAGCTGAAGCAATAAGCACAGTAATAGTTTCAGCCAAGGCCATGATGTTAATCATTTAAACTTTTTTCAAGTACTGATTAGTAAGAATGCCAAGTCCTAATGTATTCCAAGCAAAGGGAGAAGTTAAATCACTTGATGATAGAACTAGCAAACCAATTTAGAATTTTGTTAGAGATAAAGCATATGAACTCTCATAAGGACACACATCATGTCACTTCAAGAGAAATTAAGATCTAGCCAAAGAAAATTCTTAGCAGCCTTCATATGAAATGCTAGATCATCACGATCACTTAAAAGAAAAAGTGTACAGAACACACATATACAACAACCAAAAAGAGATAGACGACAAACTACTTGTCTATATTATAAGGAATTTTTGGTTAGATGGCAAAATAAATTACAATTTGCAATTAGAAGATAACACGTAATGACATAAAAGCTATAATACAGATCGGCAATTCATCAAGGGAACTTCAAAATTAAATCTTAACTCTTCCCAAAATAAGGCAGTAATTGAACTAAGTAGGAACATAACCTCAGCACGCAAGTCATCCACCGAAGCAGCAGAGAAAGTTGGCACTAAGTCAGCTCCATTTATGACAGAAGTAATGAAATCATTCCCCGACTCTGCCAGTTCCCAAGTCATACAAGCAGCTGTACATGACATCCAGTTAGTTCTACAAATGTGCAGCAGACTGAACAAACATATATTTAAACAGGAATAACATAATGTTACCATTAACAAGCTTTAATATAACAAGGCATCAGCACTCGTGGGTTCACACTAGGAATATAATGTAACAGGAACACAATTCCACGGTCTTAGAACAAAAAGAACAAACCTGGAGCAAATGTAAAACAGGTTGTTGTTGATAATTCCTTCCGCTCCCGNCTCAGCACGCAAGTCATCCACCGAAGCAGCAGAGAAAGTTGGCACTAAGTCAGCTCCATTTATGACAGAAGTAATGAAATCATTCCCCGACTCTGCCAGTTCCCAAGTCATACAAGCAGCTGTACATGACATCCAGTTAGCTCTACAAATGTGCAGCAGACTGAACAAACATATATTAAAACAGGAATAACATAATGTTACCATTAACAAGCTTTAATATAATGAGGCATCAGCACTCATGGGTTCACACTAGGAATATAATGTAACAGGAACACAATTCCACGGTCTTAGAACAAAAAGAACAAACCTGGAGCAAATGTAAAACAGGTTGTTGTTGATAATTCCTTCCGCTCCCGCAATACATATGTTAAAAGAGCCGCAGTTCCTCCACCCAATGAGTGTCCAACAATCTATTAATATCCACAAATATTAACTCCAATATTATTCACCAGCAATCAAATCACATCAAATGTGAAATTAAGAGGTTTTGAAGCATGATTATATTTTTGTACAAAATACACCAACTGCAATAGAATAATAGAGATATTGGGGTTTTGCGCACACACGGAGAGAGATGCTAGGAAATCAACAACCACTTTTCACGCCAATTGATGAAACATAGCAATGAACTCACAACAATACATGAAAAGACAGTGCAAACTTGACTAACTAAAATTTATTATATTCACCCTGAGCTGAATTCTCCATTTTACCTATACCTTTACCGTTTCTTTTTTCTTTTTTCTTTTAATCTCTACCTTCTTCATTAATTTAACTTATTGACAGTAAACAGGCTTCTTCAGTAAAAAATTACAATGGAATCCACAATAACCAGTGATTTGTAGAATGCTTCTCCTAATAACAATTTGATATGTTGAACATGTGAGGATATGGCTCTAGCAACTATCAGTATTCCACATTCATAAAGACAGCTCTAAGAGAATGTACTTACATTTGCCCAGAATATGTAAAACATTTTGAGAGTGCTATCTCAACTTTTAACTAATTTATCTATGACGTCAAAAGGCAAGTTAAAATTTTGAATTTTGACTTACATTTCCAACTAAAATTTTAAACTAAACCAGCAAGGACATGCACATAAAACAAACCAAGTTACACACAAACCTTAAGTTTATAATCAGGATACTCGTCAAGTGCTTTAAGAAGACGAGGAGTGGAAAGTTTAGCAATCCACCGTGCAGCTGCAACCATGCCACAATGTGCATAACCTAAAACTAAATTGCTTACTCCTCCTTCATGGACAACAGTGTGATGGAATGGCACCACAGCTCCAGTAGCAGCTGTCAGAGTATCCTTGATACTATGTGTTCCACGAATCAACAAGAGAAAGCACTTTGTTTTATGATCAACTAATATCGTAAAAGCTGGCTTCAGTATCTGCATAAATCAACAACAATCCACCCATTTCAAGTTAGAGAAACTAATAAATCAATCGACGCAAGGATGATTCAATTCAAATATAACGTACTCCCGCTTTCGGTTCCTGAAGAAGAACATTTTCTTCAGTAAACCCAGTCTCCTCCAAAAATAAAGGGAATGGCTTTTTTGAAAAATGCCAACACAGGGTTAACAAATTCAGCAGATATCTGAGTTCAGCAGTAATCTCAGGTCCTTCAAGTTGTATACTATCTTTACCACCAAATACGCTGCTAACATGCAACTTTCCCTGAAAGTGGTGCTTACAGTTCAGAATCATAGCCAAATAACCTCATTCACGATATATCACTTGAAATCATTGCACATCTCATGTTCTAGAAATATCAAGGATGCTTACCTGCCTCTTCAATAGAAAATTGATCCCGAATGCCAAATCCCCAATGGGCCATTTCCCCAGAGTCTCTGAATAAGTAAACCTGAGAGTCTCAGACAAAGTCGAAATTGTCTCTAACCACGTAGCCGGTGCTTGAATTAGTCTATGTGAAACACGTTCAATACCTAAAGGAGCATCACTGGTTGCAGCAACACCATTATCGTCATCATCATCATGATCATGTGACGTACGCGTCTGCAATTTACGGTTCAACGTGTAGTACAAAAGAGCAGCTGCACCAGCTGCAGTAGCCATTGTTGCTGTAGCCATGAATTTATCCCTAAATAATAAAAACAATAATAAATTTAACCATCCAATTCAAAATTTCAAAACATTATTCAAAGTCCATTCACTTTAATTCAAACATTAGCAACATTACACCCAAAACCCCATAAAAATAAAACATTTCATGACAACTACACATATAATTATCACCCTAATTAAACTCAGATTACGTACTCTAATTATCAAAAAAATTGATCCAAATCTTAATGAAAGAACGTTCCTATCATTTTCCTTCACTTTCTCGAGAACCAAACAAGGAAATCAATCAACCCAATCAATCAAAAGCCTAAAACTTTAACTTTTAAAACGACATAATATAAATTCATATGAAACTACGAACAAATCAAATAAAAAAAGAATTAAAAATTGGCAACCTAAAAGACATCGAGAAACGAAAAAAAAAAAAAGCGACAGCAAACCCTAAGAAACCGGGAGCTTCGATAATTAAGGAAAATTAATTGAATAACTGTTGTTGTCCAAACCTTAACAGCCTTCAATAATTAACTCAAAAATTTTTTGTAATAAATTTTCGTAGATTTTAAAGATTTAAAATCAAAGCTTCTTCTTGTTGTGTTCTACTCGAAGCATTTTTTATTTTCTTCTTTTTTTTTTTAATTTATATATATGTTTTTCAAAAGAGGTTTCGGGACACGTGGCGGTGGTTGATTGGGTCTGTACATACGAACTGGAGAAACTCATAAAAGTGTATTTGAAACCGACTTGAACTAAAGTCATTAAGTGGCATGTTGCCGCGTGGAATCTGTGTTCTGTACTGTGCGGTCCGTGCGGTGAGGCGAAATTTTTGTGGATTATACTTTTTGGATAATTTTGATAAATTGATTTTATTATTATTATTTCAAGAAATAAAAATTAGGGAAAAAAAAATTAAGATCAAAGTTGAGATCCTAACCTCGATTAATAATAGTGTTGTATTTATACATTTGTTTCATGTCTACCCGTTTAATAAAACATAATTTTGACCAGGCACGATCGTATAAGGTCCTCCAATAAAATATGAATGAAGAACATCGGCTGAAATTCATGCAGCTTGCCCTAGCAATTTACCCTCTTGGTATAAGGTTGCTAGATAAAATCGTGAATATAAATAATCATCTGAAAGTCGTACATAGAATGAATCGAGGTTCGGGTTTTTTTTTTTTTTTTTTTTTTTTTTTTTTTCTCAGAAGCAACACAATCAGCAATAACTTTCACTAAGATAAAAGATTTATGCAGAATAGTTGGTAAAAAGTAAAGACAATACCATACAATGTAGATAAAATCTTGAATATCAATAATCATCCGAAAGTCGCACATAAAATGAATCGAGGTTTGGTTTCTTTTTTTTTTTTTTTTCTCAGAAGCAACACAATCAGCAATAACTTTCACGGAGATAAAAGATTTATGCAGAATAGTTGGTAAAAAGTAGAGACACTACCATACAATGTATTAATATGCTTTCAAGTTGTTTCAAATGGCAAAGGGCTCAAATGCACTTAAAACTGGAAATAAAGCATTCATTTTCAGGTTTTCAGTTTCGGTACTGTGATGGTTCATCGAACCAACTCTTAGTCTCGCTCGCTGATAGCAGTCAAGTGCTCATCGATCTCCTCGACGGACAACACTTTGAAGACTGGATTCTCCTTCCTCACCACTCCAACCTATAGAAGAGGAAAGTACGATAACCGTATCAGGCATTATTATGGACTTGATAATTTAATCAGTCCACAAAGTAGTAAAAAATGGGAAACATCTGCAATAGTCAATAATTGAACTAAATACAGGTAACTTTCAGTACCTCAATCTCGCTAGCCTTAAAATCCTCTTGCAGAACTGATTGTAGGGCAGAAATTGCAGTCTATAATTGAAAGCAAAAAGGGAATTTTAGACTCCAGAAATAGAATGACGCAGACATAGAACAAGCAATCGTTCCATGAAATATAACGATAAGGACTGATTAGCTTACAGCCCATGAAGATATCCAATCATAGGACGGTAAAATGCATGTAAGAACATATTGTGTATGCAAGTTGGACCTCATAATTTGTGATAAGAATGCATATTTCTTTCAAAGAGAAAGCAACACTTACCTGCACAGTTTCCTCATAGGTGAATGCAGGATCATTCTTCATTTTCTTCTCCAAAAAATTAATTGCCTCTTGCTCCTTCAATCCAGCGCTTGTTGCCTAAAGAATGTGAAGTGAGATCCCCAAGTAAAAAATTAACCTAATTGAACAGCTTGGTAAAAAGAACTGAAGGCAATTTAATTCAATGTTCTCTTCCCAAATAATAATTTTCTTTATCAATCATACAACCATATAGTTATCACCACCAATAAACAAAATTGCTATTTGCAACTTTTTAACCTGATCTTATGATCAAGGTAAACAAAGGACACAGATGGCAAAATAAAATCACATGACATCTTTTCCCATCAAATAAAGCCCATAGCTCGCGTAAGCAGCTTTGTGTGTGTATGTGCAGAGACATGCACACTCGCACGCATCTTCATCCGTTTGACCCATAATAAAATGTTAACAATATATGCATAGTCCCTAATTTGGGTTATATTAAACAGTCTTTTTCCACTTCTCTCATATACATCTATAAATACACCAAGAAGGCAACATGTTATGAAATAGAATGTAAAAGAAATGCTTCTGCATACCTTGTGGCCAAAGAAATGGCCAGCTGGGTCACATTTATAGAGTCGAGGTCCAAATTCTTCATCAATACCCAGAATCATAGCAACTTCAAAAGAAAATCAGAGAAACATGGCAGAGAGAGAAACATCAGTTAGAAGGTCAATGACAGGAGTTTGCAAAGGAAAAAGAACAAGAGTTTGCACTAAGCAGGGCCTCATATCTATCTTGTAATCTTTCACAGTTATGAAGGACAAGAAACAAACCTACTCCAAGTGGTCTCATATAAGCATGTTGAGTATAGACCTGTGATTTGTCGGCAATCCTGGAAATAAAAGAATGTAAGGCTTTCATTCATCAGTGGTCACTCAATGTCATATGTCACTAAAATAGTATAAATTTAAGCAACGAAAAAAATTGAAATGAATAAGTGGCAGTAGAATTTAAGCGGGCAAAACAAAACAATTTTACCATTTAGATAATACATCCACAGGCATTTCATATCCATATCTGAAACGAAACTCAGCTGCTTCATTCCTTGCCTGCTGAACTAAGGTCCTTGCATCAGCTGGAAAATGAAAAACCAAAGACATCTAAGCTCTATACGTTTTAAGAGCACTTGATACAGAAACATGTTTTTACAGGATTTATCTCATCATTTCTATCATTCACCAATCATGACACATATATCATTTGAATAATACTAACAACTGACTTTGCAATTCAGATAAAGTCATACATGTAAAATTAAGATCCTTTGAATGTCTAAGGTTTATATTGATGCCTTGATCTACATAGTTTCATCAAAATTTAAGCTGAAAAGAGCGTAAAATGGAACCTGTCATGCCAGTTGCTAGCAACCCAAGGTACTTTGTAATTGGGAACAGATGTGTCACACTAGTATGATCCAAAAGCTTGTCCTGCATAATTTAAGAATAGAAAAACCATAAAAATTTAAACCTCAAGTAAACCAATGTTTAACTGCAATTAACCAACAACACTTACCGGGACCTTCTTCTGAGTCACAACGCAGACTGAATCCTTTCCTCGAACACCGATCGAGGTAACCCCAGCAGCTTTGACAGCCTTGAAAGCATACTCTATTCAATCATTACAAAAACCAATCAATTATGATCAGCACAATAACTCCATTGAGCAAAAACAGGATATAGGACCAGAATCTTATTAGCCACGTCTATCATTGAGTCATCATATGGTCAGCCTTAGATTTGAGTGATACACATGACACAAAATAAGGTTCACTCCATCGGATGTGGCACAACAAATCATATAAGTATCAATCAAAAAGGAAATTTGGAGCGTCATGAAACAAAAAGTTCTACCGAAACATGAATTTTAGATAGCATTATTTAGTAACATTTAACATGTGCTTGGTAAATACTATCAGCTGGGTGTTCCAACAGGCTTCTTAGTTGTTACTAAGCCATTACAATAGTACTCAACTAATCAAAACTATAGCTTTCTCTCCTTTTCAATTTTCACAGCATCCAAACAGCAAGTCAATTTAAATCTGAAGATGGGTTCTAAAGCTGAAAAAGTAACTGAGCCTAGTATTACTTAAATCATCAAAATGGGTTCCAAAATTTCAGTATTGATTCCTCTTAACACTTAAAAAATATCACTTATCCAGAAGTTGAATTCATCGAAATAACACAAAACATGCAAATTTTATAAGATCATATTAAACAATAAGTTGAAGACAAGACTTCGGTGCATACCCACTTGAAAGAGACGACCTTCAGGTGAAAAAATGGTTATATGACGATCATACCCTCCTCCACTTCCTCTACTCATTGTTGCCTTCCCTTCTCTTCAAGGAATTTTGATGGGTTTTATGAATTTTGGGAGATTTTTGCCGGTTTCTTTTTGTACAAAGCTAAAAGAAAGATCTTGTTCCTTAAGAAAGGAAGAGAAACAACAACGGGCTAATTCCAGAAATTACCCCGGGTTTTCAGTAACTACAATTACACACTGAATTTTATATATTCTAAAAATAACCCATAAAAGTTTGAAAGCTAGTCAAGTACCACTCCTCAAACTCAAAGGCTCAAACTGACTTTGTTTCATTTTCCTTACCAAAATTATATGAATGACTCTTTTGCCCTTATTTTTGTAAATGTAATGAATGCTACCTGACATTTATCCCGTAAAATTGCTTAATATAAATATATCTATTGTCATTTAAAAATATTATATGCCCTTATTATGGGTGTTCGATATTTTTTTTAAGAAGGTAAGGATTTTTTGATAATTAGAGAGGTATATAATACTTTTCAATAACAGCGATGTACTTGTGTTAAATAATCTCAAAGGGGGTAAATGAGGTAAATCCCTTGAATAATATTCAAAACCTTTCTGTGGTATTTAACAAATATATTCAAATTTAACATCCAATTGATAATTTTTTAAAATCCGGGGCTAGTCTAAAATTACCCTAACTTTCAAGTTTGGGCAAGGACCCAGGCCCAATTAAGAAACCCGCCCAACTACGTATATAAACAAACTCGTCTTAGGGTTTACAGATGGTTTTACTCTGCATTGCAGCCGCAGCAAGGACAAGACTGGGCAGAGGACGATCACAATCCATATCAAAAAATGAAGACGATTCTTTCTTCGGAGACGATGGACATCCCTGACGGCGTTAAGATCAAGATTAACGCCAAGATTATCGAAGTGGAGGGGCCCAGAGGCAAGCTCAGCCGCAATTTCAAGCACCTCAACCTCGACTTCCATCTGATGACCGACGAGGAGACGGGCAATCGCAAGCTCAAGATCGACGCTTGGTTTGGTACCCGCAAGACCAGCGCCGCCATCCGAACCGCCCTTAGCCACGTGGGGAATCTTATCACCGGTGTCACTAAAGGTTACCGTTATAAGATGAGATTTGTCTACGCTCACTTTCCCATTAACGCTTCCATCACGAATGGAAACAAGTCCATCGAGATCCGTAACTTTCTTGGAGAGAAGAAGGTACCTTTTATTTTTGGTAACGTTACTGGGATGATGTAGCTTTTACTGATTATTTTTTTAAGTAAAATAGTAGTAGAAGTAGTAGTAGTGGCAGTATTCCAGGAAATCCTTACTGGTCCGCTAGTGTTACTGGACAATTTAGAACTTGAAAATAGTCCAATTGTTAATGCTATGTTAATATTTGATTTGATTTTATATGAACCGTTTAATTTTGACATTATTTGTCAAATATTGCGATTGCATTTAAGGGATTGTCTCATGGAACAAATTTGATTTTGGATTTCGAAGCGATTATCTTATAACTAATGTATGTGTTTCTGAGTAGTGTTAGGATTTCATTTACCATTAGATGCTTTTGTGTGAGTTTGCATTGTGGCACTTGGGAGTTTTAAGATGTGCAAAAGATTTTATGGTCAGTAGTGGTTTACAAATCAGATTTTCTTCTTATTCATGTGGAAAAAAATTTGTTGGTAACAACAGGTTCGAAAAGTGGATATGCTTGAAGGTGTGAACATTGTCCGATCCGAAAAGGTAAAGGATGAGATCGTATTGGATGGGAACGACATTGAGCTGGTGTCTCGGTCTTGTGCTTTGATTAATCAGGTGATTCTTCTTTCTCTCTATACATGTGCCTTGTGTGTGTGGGTGTGTGCGGATGGGCATGTATGTGGTGCCACTCCTGACTGCTTCTTGCCTGTACACATTTATGCTAATCTATGGTCTTTGTGTATATATGCATTCACATATTCTGACTGTGTAGTCTTTATTTTGAACAGAAATGCCATGTCAAGAACAAGGATATCAGGAAGTTCCTTGACGGTATTTATGTCAGTGAAAAGGGCAGCATCGTTACAGAAGAATGATTAATTTTTAGTTTTATGTCATAGTAATCTTATGGAGTTTTTTGTTCTTGATTCTACCCCGTTATTTTGTGTTTGTGGAGTTGTTTGTATTAGAGAATTTTGGATTTCTGCTTTACTAGTCTTTAATGGTTTTGTTCCAATATGTTATGGATATCATAACTTTGCCATATTATCCCTATTGAAATCTTCTTTTAAGAAGTTGAGTATGAGTTATGGGTGTTATATTAACACATGAAGTTAAATGATATTTGTAATCGTGGAATGCAAGCCAATGGTTTGAAACCATTTTTCTAGTTTTTAAGTGTTTTGGCAAGGGTTTGAAGCTCTTTCTGTCGTAATGAATTACCTCTTGACTAAATTGATGTTCTTTTGAGTTGTATGTGGTATTCCAAGTGATCTTCAATTGAGATTATCCACTCAGGAGAAATGAACCATTTAAACATGGCAACTTTGTAATTGAGGCTATGTTATAAGTAACTCAATTTTTGGCCTGTCGTTGACCAATGACCAATGGTTGAGGTGTATTCTCAAAGTACCTATTCCAATCTTATGGGTAAACCCTAAACCCATGATTGGGTATCACTAACACCCATGTGTCCATTAGTAGTAGATAGAAATATGGAATGGTTTTGTCGATTATTATGTCACTTTTGAATCCCAAACACTTCGATTAGGGGTTTGTAGTTTGTACACAAAGATTTAAGATTTCTAAGTTTTGAGGCCTGGCTTCTTTAGTGTTATCTACCTACCAAATAGAAAGCATGTTCAGGAAGATAACCCTTTGATTGTTTCTTCTAAGCCAACGTATTTACACAGAGAATTGATAAATAATTCGTGCTCTTGCTATGGTTTAGTGATCCTTTTCAAGTAATTCATCCAACCCAAGGATATATATTGAAGGTGATCCACCTAAAGGCATTCAAAAGGAAATGAGCTCTTGCTATGATTAAGCAATCTTCTTCAAATAATTCGTCCACCCCAGAGATAGATGTTGGAGGTCATTCACCTTAAACATCTAAAAGGAAATGAAGCTTGAGGGTGGAATGCAGATGTTGAGTGGCAACTGTATTTAATTTAGACTTTAGACCATTGTGCGAGTTTCTTCATAGTAACTTGACCTTGTTTTTCTATCTTCTTTACGTTTAGAAATGTATCTGCAAGCATGCAAAACCAATAAAGTAATTAAATTTTATGATTAAAATGGTATATGCAAAACCCAAAAAGCAATTAAAAAAAAATCAATGCGTTTGCCGGGAGTCGAACCCGGGTCTATTGCTTGGAAGGCAATTATCCTAACCGTTGGACTACAAACGCTTATGGAGAGATGTGGTCATATGTTCTTATTTGTTCAATAATTTTTTTTAACTCAATGTAGTCTTTTGAGGTTGTTATGTCCACCCTTAAGAGAGTGAAATATAAAATACACCCACAATTTAATAAAAGTATTATATATTACTTTTAGATGGTTTTTCGATTCCTTTTTCAATGATTTTAAAAAGATAAAAAATAATAATCAATTCATCTACGGTCCTAATAAGCTCCTATTTTGTGAAAGTTAAGCTTATAATTTAATAAATAATATTACGTAAACACTTATGTCAAATTAATCTCTTACTAATTTAGTAGTATAATAGTAACAATAGAATCTATAACTTATCACATCTTTTATCAAATCTTGTTCAATAAAACTATGCTTACTCACAATCTTACTAACCATCTTACTATCCTGATAAATATAACGGCATAGTATATGTACTATGCGTATGGTACCCATACTATGCTGTTATATTTTCTAGGATTGTAAGATGGTTAGTAAGATTGTGAGTAAGCATAACATTACTCAATCTTGTTACCAATCAATGTGGTTCGAGAGCTCACAATTTTCATTAATCGAGTCTTACCCTTCCAACAGCCCACAACACACAAAACAGCCCCAAACTTGAAATCTCAAATACTTCTCCACAATAACTCCACAAATCGACAACACAACAATAGCATCGAAGGTAGAATTCGGCCAGCACAATAAATAACTCAAAACATACACACAACAACAATACAAACTTCAAATGATCACAAAGGATAACACAATAGCCAATCTCAAGGCTTAAAGATAATGTCACCCGCCAAGAGTCCCAAACTTAAAGGCTAAACCCCCGGTTTGAATCCACCAACACGTTCGGCTAAGACTTGGATAAAGAATAGTGTGTTTGCTCTCTCAAGAGATTTCAAATTCATTCAACAAGTCTACCCATTATAAAGGAAAATTTGGCGTTATATATGGCCTTATAAAAGTTGCCCTAAAAAAGCTTCAATCTTGTTCGTACATGTGGCTCACAACTAAGCAAAGCATAATCTAGACCATAAAAGTGGCTGTCAAGATTGAACACCATACAAGTGGAGTTATTGTGTAGTAGTGTTTGAGCTATGAAGTTTAGGGTTGTTTGTGTGTTGTGGGTTGTTGGAAGTCATCTTTAACTCATTCAAACTAAGTCAAAATGGACTCGCTCTAAATTAAGTAACAATACAATAACAAAATGCCGTTGCTTTAGGGGATAACTTAGAGCATCTTCAATTGTATTCTTTATTTTAAAGAATATTTTTCATATAAATTAAGAGCATTTTCATTAATTTCTAGGTATAAAGGAAAAAAAATTATTCAAATCTAATAAACTTTTTAAATTTAATGAAAATGCTCTTTATTTTTAAGAAAGAAACTTAATAAGAAAGAAAATTAATAAATAGAATACATGGAAACTTGTAATTTATTAATTAAAATTAAGATATGGAGTGAAATTTGACTCTCTAGATGTGGAGAGTCAAACTCATTCTTTAAATTATATTTAAAGAATAAATAGTCTGTTGGACTCTTGTTTTTATAGATAAATTCTTTATAATAAAGGGTTTGGATCATATAAAAAGTTCTTTGAAGATACTCTTAGGTTGGCTAATTAATATGTCCCATACTTTATTATTTCCATTGTAATGGTTAAGAATTGTTGAATGAAATTGAAGTCTCTTGAGAGAGCATTTATCCATTTCCTTTACGCCTTGAGGCTGGCTTTGCCTTGTGTTGATTGTTTTTTTAGTGTCATTTATAGTCTTGTTTGGAGCTGCCGAATTTACCTTGTGTTATGGAGTTCTTATTTTGCCGTTTGAGATAGTTTTGGTGTAGTTGAGTTGATTTGGAGTATTTGTGTTGTGTTTGTTCTATTGTGAACCTCTGGGAAGTGCTTAATTATAGGTTGTTTTAGTACATTTGTGGGTTGTTTTGTTAAGTTGAGGTTGCATTGTTGGAGATTTGCAATTGTTCGTAACCGATTGTGTAGTTTGTGTCGCTTCGAGCTAAATTAACTCACTCTAAGCTAAGTCAAAACGCATCAAGTGGTGTCAGAGCTTTGGTTGTGTAGAGTGAATTCGTTCCTTCTCATTTCTTGTCGGTTTCATCTTTTTGCTGTATTTTCTTTTGATCGAGTTTCATCACCTTGCAGATTTGAGAACAAATCTTCTTCAACTCGGGGAGAATGATTCGAATTCACATTCAAGGTAGCCCATTAAACTTCTTATGGGGCAAACGAAGTTGATGCGTTTTAACTTAGCTAGAGTGAGTAGAAAATGCTTCCAAATGGCAATGACAAGTGGTAACGCAACTAACTCCAATCGGCTATCCAAACAACACTTAAAATAACACAAAATACACAAGTAACATAAAGGATAAAATCCTAACAATCTAATTTGTGGTGGTTAGAAGTTTTTGTCATTACATTCTAGCAGTACCATATATTATCAAAATTGCATTTTGAAACGACTTTTTGAAACCAGAGATGGGTTTGAATTAGAACAAGATTGAGACTTCACATGACTCAACAATCACTGACTAAGATGATGAAGCTTTGAAAAGTGATTTTGATTCTTATTCAAAGTTAACTTTAGAATCAAAGAACAACGACGGAAGCTCATTACCAGAAAACATTACCAAGGAGAATGATTGTGTTAATCTTGATCCGACTTTCAAGATTAGTCCTAAAACTTGTTGTTCAACTTCGACGCCTATGTTGGCACCACTTGATGCAGATCCTTTAATGCCACCTTATGATCCTAAAACAAATTTTCTGTCACCAAGGTCTCAGTTTCTTTACTACTACCCAAATCCGCGAATCGAGCTTATTCAAAAAAAGGATAGAGATGGTAAGCAGTTGGAGGAGAGTTTTGTATCAAAAAGTTTATCTAATAGTGAAGTTAGTGGAATTCTGATAATTCCCGGAAAGAATCTGAGGATTTTTCTTCAGATGAAACAGTGAAAGAAGTAGAAGAAGTTGAATCAACAAATTAAATTTGAAAGTCAAGCTGATAATTTAATAAATAATGTTACTTAAATACTTAGATATTCGGTTGATTTCTTACTAATTTAGTAGTATAACTATAACGATAGAATCCATAACTTATTACATCCTTTATCAAATCTTGTTACCAATCAATATGGACTTTTTTTTTTCCCCCTTTTTTGGGTAGCCGAGGTGTTCGACTAGCTTGTACGCACCTCAATTAATAACTGAGGTCTATTGAACAATCTACAAACTCAAAAGACCAAGTAAGTCACACTGTTATTATGGTAGATGACTCCAAAGTTTGAACTTTGAACCTAAGAACTCAACGAAGAAAGCAAGCCTCCTTGACCGTCAAGACAACTCTTAAAGTTCAATGTGGTTTTACCAAAATTGTAGTTTTATTTTTTGGTCTCTTAATAAAAATGACACGTTTCTTTAGTACAAATAAATATACTATAAAGAAATAAATAAAAACCCGTCTCAATTTCTTCTTGATTATGCATATATTATAAATTTAATAAATTAAGGTGGAGTGATGGGCCACCTACATAATTAGTGCCAAGTTAGGCAGCTCTACTGCCTAAATAAAGTGCTTGTCCCACACCGACATGTAGGTTCACAATTAAATAAAAATAGTCCTTTTTATGATATAATATAGATTCTAGTATTAAGTTTTATGTATTAAACATTAAAATATACGGCCTGATAGTAAATAAGTAAGTATTTATTAACTTATAATGGTTTAAATTATCATGGTTTACTAAAAGTTCACAAATTATCACCGGCAAGAGCTTGTTTGTTATTTTAGAAACCCGAAGAAGATTTTGTTATTGTATCAAATCTTAAGGGGTCAACGTTTTTAATTCTTTAAGATAATTTTATAA